TGCCATCAGAAGTTATGAGACATTCATATAAACAGAGAAAGATTAGAACTGCCATCAGAAGTTATGAGACATTCATATAAACAGAGAAAGATTAGAACTGCCATCAGAAGTTATGAGACATTCATATAAACAGAAAAAGATTAGAACTGCCATTCGAGGTAATGAGACATTCATATACATACAGAAAGATTTAGAACTGCTTTTAAAGGTTATGAGACATTCATATAAACAGAGAAAGATTAGAACTGCCAGTCAAAATTTTGAAACATTCAAATACATAGAGAAAGATAAGAACTGCCATCAAAAGATATGAGATATTCATATAAACAGAGAACTACCATTAGAAGTTATGAGACATTCATATAAACAGAGAAAGGTTAGAACTGCCATTAGAAGTTATGAGACATTCATATATATAGAGAAAGATTAGAACTGATATTTAAAATTATGAGACATTCATATAAACAGAGAAAGGTTAGAACTGCTATTAAAAGTTATGAGACATTCATATAAACAGAGAAAGATTTAGAACTGCCATTAGATGTTATGAGACATTCATATAAACAGAGAAAGATTTAGAACTGCCATTAGAAGTTATGAGACATTCATATACATAGAGAAAGATTAGAACTGATATTTAAAATTATGAGACATTCATATACATAGAGAAAGATTTAGAACTGCCATTAGAAGTTATGAGACATTCATATACATAGAGAACGATTTAGAACTGCCATTAGAAGTTATGAGACATTCATATAAACAGAGAAAGATTTAGAACTGCCATTAGAAGTTAGAGACATTCATATAAACAGAGAAAGATTTAGAACTGCCATTAGAAGTTAGAGACATTCATATAAACAGAGAAAGGTTAGAACTGCCATTAGAAGTTATGACTGCCTTCGCAAACAATAACAGAAGATGGTATACATGACAGGCAGATCATCATTACAACCATCATCATCATCAAGTGTCTTGGCGAGCAATGTGGCCTTTCCACATCTTACTATCTACACTACAGTAACGCAGTATGATATTAACACGAGCTACACAACCAGGAAAAGACAGGAAACTACATACATAACTCCTCTCTGCAATGATTTGTGGTATTTGAAGTAGGGCAAAAGAAGAACATGATCCGTTTCACAGATCTGGCTTATCTGTATGCAGACTTTTGGATCCTTGCCTCTCAAGCAGATGGAAACATTCCTAATAAGTTGCCTTGTATGACATGCTTGTAAAACTCACGTTCTGGAACAAGTCCATAAGTGGGTGAACAACTAAAACTAGGAGTTTACAGCTGGTGAACGCTAAGAGAAAAAACAAATATTTGTTGATAAAGACTTTGGTCAAAACATGTTTTCCGTGGGGCTTTCCTTTCAACAAGCTTTCCTGTTAGACTCTGTTTATTCAGTCATACTTCACACTAGAAACAACAAAATCAATTGGAAATCAAGAGTCAAGTGGGTCCACCACTCAGGAATGTCAAGATAAGGAAGCTTAAATATTTGCCTATTGGGAAGGACTTCCCTTCCCCATGGCTTTTTTTTCTTATGGTACGCAGTACTAGCACCTTTTTCAATCCATTTTTTCCAGCAATACTGTAACAGACATTTTGTGATAAGTACCGGCACCTTTTTTGTAACAGTGTGGTGAGTATTGGCACCTTTTTTGTAACAGTGGGGTGAGTATTGGCACCTTTTTTGTAACAGTGCGGTGAGTATTGGCACCTTTTTTGTAACAGTGCGGTGAGTATTGGCACCTTTTTTGTAACAGTGTGGTGAGTATTGGCACCTTTTTTGTAACAGTGTGGTGAGTATTGGCACCTTTTTTGTAACAGTGTGGTGAGTATTGGCACCTTTTTTGTAACAGTGCGGTGAGTATTGGCACCTTTTTTATAACAGTGTGGTGAGTATTGGCACCTTTTTTGTAACACCGGCACCCTTTTTTAAAACACTGTAATGAGTACCGGCGGCACCTTTTTTTTTTACACTGCAATAAGTACCAGCGGCACCTTTTTTTTTTCCACACTGTAATGAGTACCAGCGGCACCTTTTTTTCCCCACTGTGGTGACTACCTGCACCTTTTTTTTTAAACACTGGGGTGAGTACCACACCTTTTTCCCCACATGAAAAAAGCCGCACCCTTCCACAGTATGTTACCATGCCCACCCTCACCCCTAACACACACACACAAAAAGCAGTAACACTGTAAACATGTACAAGGCAAGAGGTGGCTCTTTTAGTTTAGAATAAAATATGCCAGTAACCACCTTAAAGTGTCTATTACAACAGCTATAAAATAAGTGATTCCTTCTTTTAAAAAAATAGTTGGTTTTGTGTACATTTACATACCACCAGGAAAATTAAAGTCCTGAAGACTGGCCACCTCATTCATTAGTCAAACCCCACCAATTATAACGTAACATACATAACATAGTGCTTGACCCATTATGGTATTGGAGGTGTATTGACGGAAGCACTAGCATATAAAACCTGCCATCTTTCTCTGTTTTCCGCTTGATGAATAAGTGTACGACAGACAGTCCTGTCCATTTCTTGATGTTGTCTTTCCAGATTCTTCTTTGAACTCCTCTTTTTCGACTTGTGCTTAGTGTTCCTTGAAACACAGTCTCTGCAATCAAATCATGTCCCACCACGTGCCCAAACCTGGCTAGCTTGCGAAGTTTCACCACTGCCAGGAGAGGCTTCTGATGTCCTGCAAATTTGTATATTTTATCTCTGACAACGGTTTGGTGACTTGTCCTTTAAGTTGTAATGTAAAGGCAAAGTCCTGGATGTACTCATTGGCCATTAAGAGGCCAACATTCTGGACACTGTTGTCTCACTGTTATTAACTGATGCTGACCAACATCCTCTAAAGAAGACATCAACTACTTCTTCTGTCCACTAGAGTCACTCTTAAGCAAATGCCAACTCCATCAAATCTGTACCCAGATGACCATAGATGATGACTAAGCCGATGGGTGAAAGGGCAAAATTCAAGAAGAATATTACAGTCCCCATTCTGAATGCAGGCTGAAGAGCATTGTAATGTGGGACTAACTTTTATACATTTACAGGTAAGTAACAGAAACTACAACACAACATGCACGAGCGTTAATTCTCTGCCCATATCAACATGAACTGCTAAAAGTACTAGACCAAAGTATACATGTGGTGTTTATATGTAGGACTGGTACAAATGACGGGGCTGGCACAAAACGAAAAATATATACAGCTTGCAGTCAAGAAGATCCAGTGTGTGAATGGATGTTTACAGTGAATTTGCTGACACTGTTCAAATTCATAACAAGTAGATCTTTTGGGACTTGCCACTGATAACTGGGTTGCCTCGGTGGTACTTGCCACTGATAACTGGGTTGCCTCGGTGGTACTTGCCACTGATAACTGGGTTGCCTTCGTATATGGTAGCTTTTATAAACAAATTATCATTATGTCTATTGTTTATCATAAAACGGTTAGTTATGGGATGGGTTTCTGAAGTTGAGTTTTATTTCATAAGCTGAGTTTCTGAATTTGAGGTTTAAAGGTCATTGTCCTTAGTTGACATCGTACAGTATATATAGCATCATTTCATCTCTGTACTTTGCAGGTTTTTTTTTTCAGATTTAGTCCTGATACTTCTGTCCTGCTCAGTATTATTAACCCCGGACACTGTTTGAAATATGTTAAGTTTTCTTTTTCTGCTTTTTCTAGTTTCAATCGGTCAGTCAGTAGCATATCCTTTGCAGAACAAACACAACAATCTTCCGAAAAACTTCTCGATCACAAACAAGATACCCCGCATCTGATACACCCATCTGGAGATCATCTGCCACATCCTGCACCCATCTTCTCTCTGGCTTTCCCCTTCCTCTCTTTCCAGGCATAATCCCATCCATTATTGTTCTCTCTAAACTTTTGTGAAGTTTCAAGTGACCAAAATATTTCAATTTTTTGTGTTTTATCGTTTTTAATAGGCAACCTTTTTCAACATTCAGTTCTTGAAGTATGGATGCATTTGATCTTCTCTTTACCCATGATCTTCTTATAACTTGTCTATGTCATTTGTATTCAAAGGAATTTATGCGCTGTTCAGCTTGTTTATTAAGTGTTGAGGTCTCACAGGCGTATGCTGCAGTGGGAAAGATGCATGCTCTTGGAAATCTAATTTGTTCTAGTTTACTGACCGTAAACTCCAGCAGAAAGTTCTGGTTCCTCCTCCACTTCTGGACTTTGGTCTTGTTCCAGAATTTAAGTTTTGCACACCTGTCTGTTTTACAGATCTCAATTATTCATATGCAGATGGGCAGGGGGGAAGGGGGGTGTGGTGGTCTAGAGTGATCATTTCCTACTCTAGCATTTATATCTCCAAAGATAATAGTTTCATCGTGACAGTCATCTACAGTCCTTTGAAGCAAATCACAGATTTTTTTCCCCCTTAAAATTGTTCTAGTTTTACATCAGTCTACATTTGATTTATACAAAATGGCAGAATATAATTCAATCCTGCTGGTTAACTGTAAACTTTCGCATTTAGTTCCTAGCACTTTCGGCAACGGATGACCTAAGCATTATACAAGTTTAGGGTTGGGACTATCAACAGTCCGAATTCTAATCCTGAGTCATGGCCCAGTGTGGAGTGCTAGGGTCCCAACCCCAGCATCGCCATAGCGTGTCTGACTAGTCAACACTCAGGTCAACCACACATGTCCCTCGGGTTAATATTTTTAGGTGTATAAAATATACCCCAACTGTTGACACATCTTTTGCGTTTGGAGGGTATAAAAGTATTTAGCACAGGAGAGATGGGGGAAACTTGCTCAGCACAGTGGTATAGACGGCTGCGGAGTATATATAGGTCGCCTTCATTTTATAGGACTTGACCTGGTACCCAATTTACGGCCTGGGAGCTGAGGTCGTTTCGGGAAAAAACAAAAAGTCCAGCTCCATCAGGGAAGAAACATAAGAAGATATTAAAAATAGACACTACTCACTGTGGCACCGCAGACACTGCTTGTACACGCCCCAGATAAAATCTCCACAATAGTCGCACCAGGTGGGGTTCGACAGATGACACAGGAGGAAATTATGGCCCAGTCCGCGGTGAACAAGACGTGACATCTCAATGTGCTCATTTGGCCACACTTGCTCTGTGAGCTCCTCGTACATGCTGCGCCGTTTCAATGGCGACGTGAATCCCTGAATCACATCCTGCATTTTCCCCCACTTGCGACGGACAACATCAAAAATGCTGCTCTCCCCGTTGCTGTTGGCAACTGAATTTGCAGTCGCCATGACAGCCTGGCTGATCTGACGAAAGGCAAAGTCCTGGATGTACTCATTGGCCATTAAGAGGCCAACATTCTGGACACTGTTGTCTCACTGTTATTAACTGATGCTGACCAACATCCTCTAAAGAAGACATCAACTACTTCTTCTGTTCACTAGAGTCACTCTTAAGCAAATGCCAACTCCATCAAACAGACAGAGTTAATTTGCCATCTAAATCAGTTATGCCTGTAATAAATGAAAAGATGTATTAAAGCATTAAAAACATTTTGTTTGCCATCTCCACAATGGAGTTCGGCCGCAGTATTACATACTAACTATGAGAATATTACATAAGACCCCACACTGTGACTCTCATACCACTGTATTCTTCTTCTTTGCGTTCACCTGCTGCACACTCCTGTGGAGTTTTTCCTGCACATCCGTTTTACAGCTCTGACTTATTTGTAGGCAGACTGTTGGTTCTCACCTCCCAGGCAGATACACTGCAACTTTGAAGAAAACAATTCCCCAAATTTGTCCACTTTTACAACCTGCTTGTTAGGGGGGGGGGGGGTGGGGGGGGGGGTCTATTCCTCTTCTCCCCACAATGGGGTCCCAGAACCCCCATGGGGAATACCACTGTCTGAAAGCCATGACAGCGGCCCTTTTCTAAACTATCCACCACAGGAATTAGATCCTGGTAAATGTTGAGAACTGTATTGTGAAACTATTTCACTAACCTTTAAGCCACAGAGCCACACTATCAATTCTTAAACTTCCTTGTGTGGGTTTTCGGGGCCCTATTATAGGGAAAACAAGAAAAGACCTACTGCCTACCCAAAAGTATGTCGTAAGAGTCGATTTATTGGGAGCTTCCTTTGAAGTTGGAGTGCATCTGCCTGAGAGACAAGGGACCAGCAGTCTGCATACAAATGAGTCAGATCTGTAAAACGGAACAGGACTGCAGTCCAGCCAGAAGTGGACGAACAACCAGAACTTTCTGTCGGAGTTTACAGCTGGTGAACATAAAGAAGAAGAAGAATTCTAAAACTTACTGAACTGAAACTGAAGACCTGAAATGTCAAATTGTAAATAAACTGGTAAGAAATTGCTATCACATGGTTTAGTTGAAAGTTCAACAATGGAGGCCAAATCTGGTGCAGCATATTGCTACAAGTCGCTGACATGTCAATAACAGTGCTCTGAGTTTACTGGCTGTGATGTGTTTTTATCGCTCTCAATTAATGTCAGAAAGAGGGTGCTAAAATATTACATCGAACCTGTTCTGCGGCAGGGCAGCCAATCTTGGAATGTCAGTGAACGAATTAAGAAGAATATGGAAGCAACAGAGATGTGGTTTCTGAGATAAATGTTATGAATACCTTGGATGGCCAGAGAAACTAACAACGATTGCTTGAGAAAAGCTAATGAAAGTAGATCTCTATATACAACAATAAGAAAGGGACAAACACTGTTCTTTGGCCACATAATGAGAAGAGAGACATTGGAGAACATCGTGACAACTGGAAAGATCAGTGGAAAAAGGGGTAGATGCAGACCAAGAGAGATGATGCTGGATGGGCTGAAACGATGGCATGGAGGGATATCATAAAAAGTAAAAAGAGCTGTTCCAGGCAACCAATGATTGCGATCTGTGGAGACGCATGAGCGCCTACGCCAGGTGGCGGGGCACATGATGATGAGGCAGGGGTTCTGTGAGCCTGCAGATTTAAAGCTGCATGGCTAGTGTTGTCACAATAGACTGTGCAGGTTAGGATTGTATTTTTATGCTTGACAAACCAAATTCACAACCTTTTCAAGGATTTAAACCAGGATCTCCCGTATGAGAACCCTCCTAAGAAATCACCAACTGGAAAGAGAGTAAGTCACATCGCCATGTCGGTTCTAGGGCCCCACTGGGGAAAGAAGCAAGAACAGACCCACTGCCACCCCAGCAAGCATGTTGTAGGAGTCGACTAATGGGGGGGGGGGGGGGCATCCTTTAAAGTCATAGCACGCAAGGAACTAAACGTCTGCATACAAATAAGCTAGATTTGTTGTACGATCCCTAATACCCTGTTCAACCTCCAAGAAAGTTATAATTAGAGCCCTTGTAACAGCTACACCAGCCAAGTGTCACCTGCAGTCCTATGTGGATAAGGGCGAGTAATTCCTGTGGATCACATTCTTTGGTATAATCTGACCAAATGTAACTAATAACCACACATGTTGATTGGTAGACATGGATAATAGTTGGTGTGCATGGAAAGTTATGTAACAATCCAAGGAAGTGATAGACAGACAGAGGTAGATTGTGTGATGGACAGGGAGATCGTGAGAATATTAGAAATCGTTTTCTTTGCATTCACTGGCTAAGTATTCCAGGGGAAAGTCCTGGTTGTTTGTTTGGACTTTGGCTTTGTACCAGGACCCGAGTTTTGCATGTACATATGTTTGACTGGCTTATTTGTTTGCAGTTCTTGTTCCCTGCCTCTTCTGCAGATGTACTCCGACTTTGAAGGAAGACGTCTAGGATGACTGGCCACTGTTTCGTTGGACATAATGTTGCCTCATTTTTATGGTATCCTCTTTGTCCCTTTATCTACCGATGTTGTCCTGAGAGAACCCCCTTTGGGTAATCGCGTGTAGACTGGTCATTGTAGACAGTCATTGTAGACTGATCGTTTTCACCCATGCATTGCGGGTGGCCCGACGAGAGCCAGACTGGACCCAACATCTCTGGGCCACCAGCTCCAAGATCCCCTGCCAGCTCTGTTTATGTTCGTTTGAGACATTATCCATGACGGGGTTGTGCAGCAGCATGGGGTTTTGAAAAACCAGCACAGAGAAGACTGGTATCTGAGGTGAGGTATGGAATATCTCCTTATACACATCACATTGGACTTAACTTACGTATCATTAATCTCAGAAAACCCCTGCATACACCCCAAAATTTGTAAATACAGGCAGCAATGACCGGTTTTTTATTTTATCTCTCCATTGTCTTTTTTTGCTGTGCCTCATGATCTACGACCATTCAACTCCCTTGTGTACACAGGTTTTGTCACTCTATCCTTGTGCTCTAGCTATTTCATTATACCAGTGATCAGTGGTGCTATAAACAGAATATCACTGTTGCTTCTCACTCTCTCTTCTCTGTCATTTGCAGTTCTGAGAGGGCAAAAGATTCACTGTGAGACTCTTAACAAATTTTTAATAAAGCTTCATCTCTTCTTAGTTGTTCTCCAGGTTTCATTCCCATATAAGACAGATGGTCTTATCAGCGTTTTATATACTGTGATCTTGGTGCTACAAGATAATGTATTCTATTCTATGAGATACTACAGGGTGGTTTTGTAACGAAATAAAGTTTACGAAGGTGAAGGTTTCAGCTCCCCTGCTTTGATTTCTAACATTTAATTTTACCACCCTAAATAAATTTGATAAAATATTTGTTTTCACACAAGATGCTCGTTTAAAACTGATTTTATAATGGTAACATGTATGTGATGCTGTTTGTAATGGGTAGGAAATCCCAGCACATCAGAAGGGGTTCCCCGATGTGATGGGTAAAGAGTGCGTAGGCCAGCTAAGAAAGAATCAGGGGGAAAGTGGCAAAAGGCAGGATTGTGAGTCCAGGTGAAAAGCGAATCACGAGAATTTTGTGAGGAGATAGGGAACAAGTGAACATAGGATAGAAGGAAGGGGTATTCTGTGTGAGAAGCGAGAGGAAACGGATGGCTGGACTGAGTGATCATGGAAGTGAATCTGAACAGTTCATAGCTGCAGCAAATTTCTGATGTACGAGGAGAGAAATGATTGAGCAGACAACAGAAGCCTGTTGCTGATTGAAGTTAAGAAGAAATGTTGGTGCTTTATTAATATCCTATCCCAAACAGGAGAAATCCACAGGTCACGGGACAGTCCAATATTTCAGGGGTTGGTAGATAGGCTGCATGCCACCGTGGGACCTAAGCTACATACATGAGACCTAGACTGCACTCTCTTGTGGGACGTTGGTGGTTTGGTGTTAGGGCAAGTTCTAGATCTTTTGGGGTCGTTAAAAGCATTAGAAAGCCGGGAAACCCAGTCTTACCACCCTCTAAAATGTTGGACAGTCCTGTGACGTCATCTTGGGAAGGATACTGATAAAGAACCTAAATGTTCACTGTATATCAATAACTAGAGACAGGAATGAATAACACGTACAAATTGAAACATGGTAAAACAGATTAACAGATTCGTCAGCACCTGAGTCAATCTTTGTATGAGAATACTTTCTATGATAGGGACCATGTTGACACAACTGATGAATAAGGGATAAACATTTGTGTGAGTTAACTGGTCTTGCTCTTGGTATGTCGTTGATACTAACTCCCTCAACTGGTGTAGTCCTACAGTTAGACAAAAGTGAGTCTTTGCAAGCATGAAGGCAGCATTTCTAAACACAACCTTATCATAGCTTATTCTTTAACACTGTGTGTATGAATATAACAACTAACATCTCTTACTCTAGAATGTAACAACTGTATTTGTTTACAACTGATACATGCTGCAAGGAGAGAGCAGATTGTGGAGAGACCTGATTGTCCACGGCAAGGAACCTGTTGATGATGATTTGTTTACAATCTGCATATCTATGGGCCTAGTATAGTTTTCTATGAAAGTTATACAGTATATTTTTCTATGAAAGTTATACAGTATATTTTTCTATGAAAGTTATTTGCAAAAATAACTTTCTTCTTCTTAGCGTTTATCCACTGTAAACCCCACTGGAAAGTTCTGGTCGTGTGTTCACTTATGGACATTAGCCTAGTTCCAGACCGTGCTGGTGCGTGTACATCCGTTTTACAGATCTGGTTTAATAATAAACAACGTCAATGACAATGTCACAACAATATGTCACTAGTGTCACAATAGACAATATTATTGACTCATCTGATCATCAATAATTGAAATTCAAAATACTAATTTGTTTTTGGCCAGACCTTGTAAGTGAAGTTATCAAACGTTTCCATGAAATTATAATGAGCAGTGCAAGATCTGGACTTCAAGGAAGTAAATACCATGATCAAAGC